TGGTGTCTTTGAGCCCTCAGAAGGTTGGCAGAACTGTGCAGCTGAGACATCTGTGCTCAAATTCCTCTCTCTTATCAGATCAGCATCCTTAAACTTTCTGTGCCAGACCAGCCATTCCTATCTGGCAGTAGGGAACTCCTCTGATATTAGTGTTTCAGTATTACGATCTTCTACCAATTTCTTCTTCCGGTTCTGTTACTTTGAACTGTCTGAAAAATAAACTGTCAAGAAACTAGTAAAATGGCTTGTGCTTCAGATAACCCTAAAACTTGTTGTCGAGGCTACGTGGAAAAGTCTTGCACTTCTTTTCTATGGAATGGTTTTTCTGTCAGAAATTGCTGTGACTAGGAAGACAAGGAAATTGGGGAGGCGGCATGTACTTCAATTTTCCCTTACCCCAGAAGATATGATGATTTTCAGTCAAACACTAGAATTTTCTATATCTTGTAGTATTTACCATATACATCAATCTAGTTATCTTTTTTCTGCAGTATTGCCTAGTCTAGTTTTCATTTCCAGCCAATGTCCTTTGACTTTGTTTCTGTTTTCTTCTTTTTTCTTTAAGCCGATAGTATTTTGACTGTTCTCTAGGCAGTCTTCCACTTGTTCTTGTGTAAACTTGTCCTGAAGAAAATCAGAAGCAATTTCAAGATCAATAAGATTACTTCTCTGAGTAATCAGAGAAGCTAGCCAAGGTGCTGTTCGGACTTGCATAAAATTCAGTAGGATGTCAAGCCTATAAAACGTTCATAAAAAGATCCCTATTCTTCCTAGAGGACTTCCCAGTAAGCTATGGAGCCATTTCTTGTTCAGACTGTAGTGCTGCTTTCACGTCGTTTTGCCTTGCATTCAGTGTTTACTCTCTTATCCATAGCGTTATAATAGATGTTCAAGTCTTCACTTGGAAGGGGAAATTTCTCTGTCCTTCCTGTCTCCCATATGACTTCTGAAGAGAAGTCTTGGGATTTTTACAGGCTAGGGTATGGCTTTATTGTAAAGCTTCATTTCCATTCTTTGCACTTTTAGGTACCCTTTCTGAACTTGACTCCTTTTTGCTATTGTTTATTAAGCAGAATTTCCCATTTAATTCGTCTATTTTGGTGGCTAGCTGAGAGGGAAATCAGTGCTCCAAGGACTGCTCATACTACACTGAGAAAGGAGAGTGTGAGAAAGGGGTTGCAAGGAAATGGGGAGAGAGAGTAAGCCTTACTGCAGGCGATACAAGCCTTACATACTTCTGTGCGCAGTAAAAAATGTTTCAGATGGGTAAGTAAATGTTCCCTTCCTGAGCAATGAATGGGCTAAAACCCCCTTCCTCCTGGTCAGTTTGTATCCTCAAGTCACTGTCATTCCCCAGATAGCATCCAACCCTTCAGTGACACTGTCAAGCACTGCAGTGGTGTGCTTTTTGCTGAACACAGCTGTGAGTCCTATGACCTGTGAACAGAGAGCACTGTTCTTGCTGTCAGTTCGAGAAGTTTGTTTTCAGTTTGGTGTTTATAGCTTTTTTTTCCTTTACTGGTCACTGCCCACTGCACCTGAATCTTTTCCTGTGCATGTTGGGACTCGGTGATGTCTTTTCTGTTCTGGGTCCTGTTGATGCTGCCTAGGGCATAGCAAAGAGTTCTTGTTTCTGATATCGGAAGGCTTTATCCTAACCTGGCTTTATACTAAAATTTTGCCCTGGAGGATTTGATGCAGTTCAAGTTTGAGACCAGCAAAGAAATGTTAAAAAGAGACTTTCCACGAGCCTCTACTATGAAAACATTTTTTCCTGACATGAATTCTTCGGCCATGGCAGTGACTTCATGCAGTAGAGTAACCAGACTGGGAGATGAAAGACCTGAAGCTAAGTCAGACCTTTCCATCCCTATCTTGAATGACATTCACAGTCTGCCTTGCCTTGTGTCTTGCTTCCCCTGCCCTCTCCTACATCCTCAGGGGGTTCTGTCTGTGGGAGCCACTGCCGTCTTGCACTGTGGCTGGGAATTAGCAGATCTTCATTATGGCCCTACTTGCTGTTTGGGTAGTGACTGCTGTTCACTTCAATCACCTTTTGCTGTTTCTCCCTTGTTCTTGTTTCGCTGGTGAATGCTTGTTCTGTAGCTGGTTAATTGAGACCGCTGGCATGCAGCAGACTCCCTGGTGCACTCTAACTAAACAAAGCCATCGTTTTTGGCCTGGGCTTCTCCCCAGCTCTGCAGCTGTGCTGCATGCTGCCTCTGTTTTTTTTTCCCCTCCTCCTGAACTCGCAAATCTCCAGTCTCCAACATTCTTGTATGGCACCCCCCCCAATCCTGCAACATGTAGTTATTTTCACTCCCTGAAGCATATTTGCTGAGGAGTCCGTGCTGGCTTTTCAAGGCATCCTTTAGCCTTGAAGTCTGCCTGGAAGTTCTGCGTTATACCCACTGTCTCTCCTCTGCGTCCTCCTCTCTGCCTGTTCTGTTTCTCCCTGGGGAGAACGTGTTTAGAAAAAGGAGGAATCTTTGGGTACAGTGTTGTTCTAGGGTGCTGTTAAAATCACTTCCTCCCTACAGCATGTATTTTGCATGCTTTCTAGAGCTAGAGGAGTAACAGCAGAGAAGGAAATGTCAGAGGTAGGAGGAGATGCTTTCAGGTGAAGCTGTAGAGCTTGAGAAGCAAGTTAGGATGGCTGTGAGAGGGTCGTGCAGGGGAACGCAGAGGGAGGCTGGGGAGAGTCCCAAATGACCCAGAGAGAGGCTTTCAGAGGACAGAGAGTTACGGAGTTGGCACAGAAGGGATCTCTCAGTTGCAGTGTGGTGAAAAGCTTCTTTAGGCGTTGCTGCTCACCTGTTTTGTGAACTTTTCAGAGGAGTGGATAGCATCTCCATGAGAGACTCAACTGTTCCTGATAGGTCCCACCATGATGGCTTTTGAATCCATCATTTGCTATCAAGGTCAGAGCAGTGGCATTATCATTTCATACTCATAGTGCTGATGGTGTGCCATCTAGAAAGAGACATTTAATCTACTTGGTCTTTGATATCTCAGCAGGGGTTTGCACTGTTTTAGATGATGTACGCACAAGACAAAGAATTGATCAAACTTATCAGACTTTCTTCACTGATATGACTGAACTTCTGTGAAATAGATTTGAACCAGTGACCTAGAGGTGAAGTGTTTTAGTTTCATTACTACTCCCTTGAGCCATCTTCTTGCTCTGTTTGCAACTACAAAATCCTACCTGCTCAACTGTATTGCAGGGTGTGATTGTTACAGATTTGTGGTGTGCTGGACAAGTCTCTTGCCAGTTTTCCCAAGTACTCTAGACTTCATTGGGAAGGAAAAGGGCAGTATAAACAAACACAACGATTATTGGTCTAGGCCAACCTAGAGCTACTAGAACACTAAGAATGAATGGTGAAATGCCAAAATATCAGGATACACCAAAGGTAAGGAAAATTATACAGTGTCAATACCGTCCTCATTTTGTGTGGGTCATCACAAAATAGTCTTAAAGTTGTGTTGCTAATTCTCAAATGATGCAATATGAATGTCCAACCTTGAAAGTGCCTTCGTATGCTTAGCCTTGTGCTTGCTATGTGTGTGATCTTTCTGCCACCAGTGGTTGCACACAGGGCAGTGAGGTCTCTGCTAGGAAATGTGGGTGGAAGTGGGTGCTAGTATTATGCAGAGTTTTTCCCACATCCTAAAGCACATATATAGTATCTTGAATGATCTTTCTTTCTTGGATAGTCAAACATTTTTTATTCCTGAAAGAGAGCCCAGGCTACTTATGTTGATTTGGACTTCTTGTCAAATTTTTTTTTCTTGTTTTTTAATGATTTCTCAACATGAGTCACATTTTCAGGATCACAGTTTTCCTCACCTGCATTTCAGAAAATGGATTAATTACTGCAAGATGTTATATCTGTAAAGTTACAGAAAAAACTGTGGATGGTCTACTCTATCCTTCCTGTAACAAACTGCATGGTTAAGCATCTACAGTTTGCTATTATCAAACTTGTATTTTTCTTTCAAACCCAAATCAGACTTTGCGAGATGTAATGCTAAGATGTCCTCCATTGGAGATTATTTCCATGAAAACTGTGTCTTTCAGATTTAAGCCATTTCAGTGTTACTGTAGTCTTTCAAAAGTAAATAACCTAGAGGTTATATATACATATATATATATATATATATACACATACATACCTCTCTCTCTCTCTCTCTCTCTCTCTCTATATATATATATATATTTTACGATGGGAGAAAGTGTGTTTTCCCCTGCCTCTCAAACTGGGGTGTTACTGAGGTGGTCTTGTCTAATCCTTCAGAATATTTTAGGAAGATAAAATTATTCAAACACAAGCCTTTGTATGTTGTTAATGTTACCTAGGCCAATGCTAGATAAAGAATTCAAAGTTACTTTTTATGAGGAGAGCTCCTGGAACTGTTGCCCCTTCATTAGAATTACCAGAGGAATGTTACATGATGATCCCTTTTCACCATGCCAGACATATTCTGCCCCATGAGGACCTTCTGATCTGAGATTAGCAATGAGCATATGCACCTGTGTAATGGATGCATGGTGGAGGGAGCCTCTTTATCTTTTAGTATTTCTTGGTTAGATTTCAGAACTGTCCTCGGGCCCCATCTAACATGGATAACAACTGTGTGGGAATTCATTTTGAAAAGAAGGTCTGAATGTGTTGTTTTGCTGCAGGTTTCAATGAAATCTCTGGTCTTTAATTTCATTCTGAATTTTATCTGAAAGTGAAAATGAAAATGCTCACTAGAGTAAAATTTATTTGGAGATTTTATAGGCTGAATTAAATGGCTTTAGAAGGTTTCAGTTGCAGGTCTTTTCTTATCTGAGAACATGGTTTAATTCTCTAGAGTGTGTTTGAGCATGCTTTGGGCATTTGTATGCTCAGCTTTGGGTTTGGGGTCCCTGGAGTGTTTCTCCAGAAGTGATTCTGAAGTAGAGTAATGGCATGTAAGTGATAAAGTCTCTGCCAATCTTCCTCTTTCAGAGAATTCGGTCGACAGTGGATGAAAAAGAACAGAAGCAGCTTCTGATGGACCTTGATGTAGTAATGCGAAGCAGTGACTGCCCCTATATTGTTCAGTTTTATGGCGCACTCTTCAGAGAGGTGGGCACTCCAAACTTGTTTCATTCATAGCAGTTTGTGTTTTGCTTTTTTTTGCTTTTTTTTTTTTTTTTTTTGCATTTTTCCACTTGCAGTAAGGAGGAGAAAGTTAATTTGTATTAGTATTTTTAGACCTCCACTCTTAATCAAGCGTATTTAACTAAGCGACCCAGATGTCTGAGCGCTGCTAAACGCATGCTATTCCCATTCACTGCCATATCTGTTTGCATGTGTCAGTCGCTCCTTCCTTCCTGCCATTCTCTCCTTTTAATGAGCTCCTGAGTGTGTGGCTCTCCCAAGCAGAGCCTTTACTGACTGGATGACTGCTGCTCTGCGTCACAGCACTCAGACACAAATGTGCTTTATGTGAGCTGTTATCAGATGCAACCTTATGAAAGCCCTGCACAAACCCAGCACCCCTGTAAAAAAGGTGCTGCTGTGATAATAGCCACAGTTCCTCATAAGGCTGTCTGACATACATACTGTACCAAGGCTGTGTCAAGAGACTCCTGACTGACATGCATCTTCCTCAAAGTGGTTCATATCTAAAGATACATTAGACTATAAGGGCAACTGCAGTGGTTCAGACCAGAACTCCTAGCCTTATATCCTATCTCTAGCAGTGGCCCAAAGTATTTCCTTACAGAAGCAAATGTGATACTTCCCTTAAGCCTGTGGTCATATGCGGTGGAGTGTCTTCAGAGCTAGGTGTAGTATCTGTGTGCTTAGTGATTCTTAATGGATTTCTTTTTCATGAAAACATTCAATTTCCTCCTAAAATACATGGATGTTTTTTGCATCGATGGTGTTCTCTGAGAGGCACTACCCTTGGTTGTCCCCCCACCTTGATTTATTTTGAATTTACATTCTGCTAGTTTTGAGTGGTATCTCTAGTTTTTGTATTTGAAGAAGCAGTGAACAATTACCATTGTCCATTCTCTCTAGGCCACTGAGGGTTTCATGGACCTTTATCATGTTCCCCCTCTGTCATGTCTTCTCCAGTCTGACAAGTTCTAGCCTACTGTGTCTTACATGGAACCTGTGCCAGACCTCTGATCATCTTTCTTACCATTCTCTGCATCTCCTACAGCTCTACTCCGCCTTTTGCGGCAGGCACCAAATTTCATGACCGTTATTGAAAGAAGCGGTATCTGCAGTAGCTAGCCTACAGACTGATATTTTGCTTGGCCCTTTTATACGCATGCATATCATATGCTGTTGAAAGAGTTATTCAGTATAATGCTTCCAGGAATTACACCCAGTGAAGACCAGGATTACAGCATTGAAACTATATAAGCTGATCACAGTTAATCCTACCATAGTTAAGCTATGTTCATGGCCAGGAATGTGGTGTTTTCATCCCTGCATATCTGCAACTGTTTTAACATCTAACTATTGCATTAATTTCTATCCATATTTTAAGGCAATATTATACTGCAGGGCCACGGAAGGTATAATGGTGTCTCTTCCTTGCACTTTTCCCAGCCGCTCCAATTGTTGTCTTGCTTTGAATAATCATGAAAAACGATTGGAAGTTGGCCTTCTCCATAAAGCCTGGACAGTCTTAAGCCGTGCTTGGAGGCCAGTCATCAAGCTCAGCTGAGGCATTTCAATGCAGGCACAAGAACTGGAATATAGCAATGGTGGCCAACACTGTATTGCAAGCCTTTGGTCCATTTCCAAGATATTCAGGACGAATGTCAAAACCTGGTTACTGCTTCCCCTCCTCCAGAGAGCCGCAGCTCTTTTTTAGGTGTGGATTATTCTTCCTCCTGTACCTGATCTGATGTTGAAGCTCCCACATCGTAGGGGAATGCACATGCAGACTTGCCCATTTTCCGCCACTTCAGCCTAATCCCAGGACACCTACCCAAGAGAAGTAGGAAGATGGAGACCTACTAGCTGCTCCTCTTATTTGCACATTATCTGATCTACAAGTATGAAAGGTTTGATTTGGAAAAGCAAAAATTATTGCACATGAATGTATTTCCCTGTTTTTATTCTGGCTCACTTGATCAGCAAGTGTTTTCTGATAGGGAAAGTTTTAAAATGCATTTTCTCTGGCAGTTTTCACAATTTGGAAACGTTTTCTTGAAAAATAACTAGATGCCATAAACTATATCTATACTGTTGATTCCCAAAAGCCAGACTGGGGCCTGACAGCCAGTCATTACCATCACCCTTCAAGGGAACTTGACATGGTGGTGGGTCTTCTCTCTGAACTGATGCTGCCTGTACCTCATCAGGGAGTATCTTAATGCATGTTCTTTGTTCCCTGTTCTTCAACCATATGGGACCTCCCTCTGTTACGTTGTATGTTTGTGTTTGTATATAATGTAATATGTAACAATGTGAACACTATAAGTTGATTGCCAGATATGGGACTTTCTTTGAATTCTTATGCACCCATTAGATGAGATTAATTAGCTGTTTATTGAAACAGGAACAATGTTGGAAAAGTCCCAGGAGATAGAATTGCAACCTTTGCATGAAATAGGGGGCTTCATCACACTGATGCCATTTACATTCTGGAATCAGGTCCTCCATGACAGTGTCCTGTACTTACTCTTGCTCTTGTTGTTGAAGCTGTGGAAGCTATGTCCTTCATCTCACTATATTGCACCTCTTAGTGATGTTACAGCACCCTTCGTTCAGCTAACCTAGCTATTAAGTGGATTGCTCTATAGTCTTGGTTCTCCAAAGGTCCGGGGTAGAAAAAAATCAACCCATTTTTTTTAATAACAGAAAGCATCTCTGGGCACTAGTTTTTTGACATGTGGCCCTTGGGATCATTTTGATGTCCACAACCTGGTCTTTAACAGACGAGAGAGGAAAATCCCATCCAGTAAAGGATGGGGAATGAGGAGGATCAGGAAGAGAAAAGCCTGGAGGAAAGTATAGAAGCCAGAAGGGGCAATTATGCTATTATTCCTGATTAAAATGGCTATAGAGGAATGACTGGATTCAGTACTTTAGTAAGTCAGTTACCGTTTTCATACTGTGCCACTGAGGCCCTTGCCTCCTGTAAATGCACACAAAACTCTCTACAAGTTATTAGTCAGGAGAGATCTATTTTTAAGAGGTTCTGGTTATTCTTGTCAGTTTGTTACCTCTTAAATTAGCATATACTAGTTGCAAGTATTAAAGATATTTGAATCTTTAAGTAATGCTTCTTTGAAAAAAGAAGATTGCTAGGATTTTTGCAAAGAATTCACCTGAATCACTTTCTTTTAGTGAGAATATGGGACTGTCTATCTCTGAGCCACACCTCTGCACTGCCGTCTGGATGTGATCCTGGGCAATATGCTCTAGGTGACCCTGCTTGAGCAGGGAGGTTGGACTAGATGATCTCCAGAGGTCCCTTCCAACCGAAACGATTCTGTGATTCTGTGATTCTGTGAGAAACCCAGAGACCCTTCTCAATGAGTGTTTGGAGAGCTGAGAGCTCTGAGGAAAAAAGAATCTCATTTTGTGTGTCTGCTGGAGGCTTTACAGCTAATCTAGTTTTAGACAGTACCCTTAAGACTTAAGGTTGAGAGTGGTCAGTTGCTGTAATCACGCTCATTACTCTTTTAAAGTAACTGTTCCTGTTGCTTTTCTTAACCTTGTCTGACTTAGGATCTCAGCAATGGCTCCTATGTAGTGCAAACATAGCTGAGCTAAGGTTAAAATAACCAGTTCAATAACTGATGAATTTCATTGCTACAAAATTCATTACAAGTTGCAAAATCTGCCCAGGAAGCCAGGTATACTAGCCTATGGTGAACTTCTACTGGTACCAGGAAGGGCTAGCATGGACATGTCAGTAACATATGGCTGACATTGTTGTGAAGTGTTGGTGTATTCTTGGTCAATTATCATATGGTGCCTTTGCTCCCTTCACTGTTGATGCCTGCTCATCTTGAGTCACCCACAGGAGGATGGTTTGGAATAGCATTTGCAATGCCTTGATAAGTATTTTCATGTTACATACATTAGTTTCCTCAAATAATTGCTATGCTATTCCCAACTCCCATAAGCAGTGTTTAAAATCTCGCCCTGGGGTTTTGGCTGGATAAAATTCAGTTCAAGGCTATAAGATGTGCATGAGTTTTTGACAGTTATGAATCCTTTGTAGGCTACTTAAGAAACTTCTTTTTTGTTGGTGAAATATTAAAATTCCATAAAAAATGAAATTCATCATAGTCCATGAAATCCCAAACTGCATAAAAGCATCCAAAAAAAAAAAAAAAGAGGATAGGCAGCCTAGATTTTCTGAGACAGGACAGAACCACAGCTAAAAAAAGAAACAGTAACAGAATAAATACTTCCTGCAGTCTGCCTATTCAGTCAGAGACAGGATTGTCCTGTGTCCCTAAGATGTTTGACACATACTTGAAATAGCACTTATCCTGAAGATCATACCTAGTAATTACAACGATTGTCAAGAGGAGGGACTGTATCCAAGTGTTTGCATAGGACACACCATCCAAATAGGTTCTTAAATATGCAGTATATGTTATTTCAAAATCTTGGTCTACATTTGGTACCTTAGAGAGCAGTCTTGCATCTGACTAAGGTCACTTATGGTTTGTAATGTAGCTGCTCTGAAGTGTTTCTCTTTTGGCACTCTCTATTACTATGGAAAACTTTGGCTGTGCTGACATAGCTCGAGGCATATGCCCCAGTGAGCACTCCCTGGTCTCTAGGAGAAGTGTCCTTTGTGTGGTATAAAGATATACGATGAGATTCTTGATTCTCTCTTGTTAGTAGAGATGCAATAAAAAGTTTCTTCTTTTTCATAAAAAGTTATCTGTTCTCTCTAATGCCCTAACACAGTAAATTTACAGTGTTGGTATCTACGTGACATGCTCAGTTATTGACTGGGAACTCGGGATGCTGCATTCGGAAGTTGGAGCATCCCAGTTCCTGGTTCAGAAACAGATTTTGTGCATGCCTTAGAACACAGGTAGCAATATTTTGAATGAAAAACTAAGTGCAGGGTGTTCCTAGATATTTTTTGGAATGCTTACAAGGCACACATTAGCAGCTGGTAATTTAATGCCCAATAAGAACTAAAATATATTCTTTGGAAGAACAACTGTAACTGGAAGAAAAAATTAAGATGCCTCCTTTGTCATTTTGTAATCAGAAATCAACCTGATGTAAAAGCATAACTTGAAGAGAAACTTTCATTAAGACAATTTTGTCCTCATATTTCAAGGTGAAGCAGCACGTTCCTGTGCAAACCAGCACTACTCTCTATTTGATAAGAAAGGGTACTGAGTGACTGCTACTCAGTCATCCCTGCCAGTCTTTGTTTTTGTTCTCAGTAAAATTTAGTTAAAGTTTGCCAATAGGTAACTCTTTGTAAGTCCCAAACAGGGACAAACTGCATAATTGAAAAGATCTATCATCTTTCTTACAATTGATCTTGCTAACATGAATTCACGATGATCAGGTAGATTTTTATATTACTGGATCAATAGATTCCCATGCCAAAACTTATGTATGGCATGTACCACTTCAGGAGACTGAGTAAAGCAAATCTTGCTTTTTTTCCTTGATGCTTTTTTAGCATGTGCAGTGAAATGGCTTTTTCTTTTTTTTAAACTTAAATTAACATTGGACAGCAATTTATGTATTAATTGGAGTGTTTAGTAACACACGCATCACATTCCTACAGACTTGCATAATTTTTTCTGAAGCTTTCGTTGCAGCAAAAACCTCTATTGCCTATAGGTTGCCTATTGTTTGACTTCGGTTCACTTTTGCTGTAACACCACCTGTTGTAACCTGGGTTACTGAAGATCACAGAATCACAGAATGGTTGAGGTTGGAAGGGACCTCTGGAGATCATCTAGTCCAACCCCCCTGCTCAAGCAGGGTCAACCAGAGCACCTTGCCCAGGATCACATCCAGACGGCTTTTGAATATCTCCAGCGAAGGAGACTCCACTACCTCTCTGGGCAACCTGTGCCAGTGCTCTGTCACCCTCACAGGAAAGAAGTTCTTCCTCAGGTTCAGATGGAACTTCCTGTGGTTCAGTTTGTGCCCGTTGCCTCTTGTCCTGTCACTGGGCACCACGGAGAAGAGACCGGCCTCATCCTCTTGACACCCCCGCCTTCACATCCTTGTACACACTGATGAGATCGCCTTTCAGTCTTCTCTTCTCCAGGCTCAACGGGCCCAGCTCTCGCAGCCTTTCCTCATATGAGAGATGCTCCAGTCCCCTCCTCATCTTTGTAGCCCTCCGCTGGACTCTCTCCAGGAGTGCCATGTCTCTCTTGTCCTGGGGAGCCCAGAACTGGACACAGCACTCCAGGTGAGGCCTCCCCAGGGCTGAGGAGAGGGGCAGGATCACCTCCCTCCACCTGCTGGCAACACTCTGCTTAACGCACCCCAGGAGACCATTGGCCTTCTTGGCCACAAGGGCCCATTGCTGGCTCATGCTTAACTTGTTGTCCACCAGCACTCCCGAGTCCTTCTCTGCAGAGCTGCTTTCCAGCAGGCCAACGCCCAGCCTGTACTGGTGCCTGGGGTTATTTCTCCCGAGGTGCAGGACCCTGCACTTGCCTTTGTTGGACTTCAGGAGGTTCCTCTCCGCCCAGCTCTCCAGCCTGTCCGGGTCCCTCTGAATGGCAGCACAGTCTTCTGGTGTGTCAGCCACTCCCCCCAGTTTAGTATCATCAGCAAACTTGCTGAGGGTGCTCTCTGTCCCTTCATCCAAGTCATCGATGAATACATTGAACAAGATACTCACAGTATTAGTGCCACTGGACATATATGGAAGACTGCAGACAGTCAGAAGTATTTTGGCATTCTCACATGAACCCAGTCATCCATAGTCTCAGTACAATAATACAAGAATATAGTGCAGTACCAAATCTTCATGTAAGCCTGGTCAAAACAGCAACAATATCTTAAGTGATTCTACAGTCAGTAGAACAGTTTCCATGCTTGTTTTCATTATAAATGATTCCTAAGGATTAGTTGTGATTCCAGTTTTGCTTGATTTATATACATCACTAACACTGAATCTGCTTCCCCTTCTCTGAGCCACTGTTGGTAATATGAAGTGCAGCAACTGCCCTTTGGATTTGTTGCCCTCTGCCATTTGTTGCAGAGTTCTGCATTCATTGCCTGATTTTATTCCTACAGTTTAAATTTGAGCAGGTCCTCAGCCAAACTTATGCATAGCCAATTTGTTTTCTTTCTCCAGCAGCCTGATCCTTCCTTCTCCTTTCTCCACATTTATGTTAGTTATTGGAAACATCATACATATCTTCTTCCCCCCATGCTGCAGTTGTCTCTTTCTCTGTGGTTTCTCTACCATTGTTTCCGGCATGGTGGCTTTTCAAGCAGTTGCTTTTGTGTTGTTCCAGGTGAAATGCATGTTTTCTAGGCTCAGGCTTGTAGCAGCCATTTCCCTTAGACAAGTAACATGAGATCCTGCTCTGCCTTGTGCTGAAATGAAAAGGCTGGTACCAAACGAGCAGTGTAAAATGGAGCCTCCCATACCTCTGATCCTAGGGCCTTCTTCTCCAAATAGCTCAGCCCTTCCTAGAGAATCTGGTAACCTCTTCTCAAAAGAGGTAAGTGTATCTTCTTGAAGACAACATAACTCCTCTGACAAGAGTTTGTGTTGTATTCATTGTCACTGAGGACAACCAGTTCTGAACCAGTGACATACATAACGCTAGGGGCATGTGAGGTGCTTCATAGCAGCTTGCTCTCCGCATTGCTGCAAACAGTTTCCCACTTGTGTGCGTGATCCAGCACAGAGCTGAGTGCTACTGCTGCTACCGCTGTCTCTGCTGATACCTACCACCACAATGTGCAAGCAAAAAGTATTTGAGAGCACCTTGTGTAGGCAGTTCTGTTCCAACTAAACCAAGCATTTGGACTGGAGGCTTGGTCTTGGCCGATTAAGTTCCTTGGCTTGTATTTCACAGGAGGTCATTTTCAGTGAGCCCCAGATTCCTTTTTGGGCTTAAAACCTGTGGCTCTACATGCTTTTTTAATCATGTGAATCGAATCATGTGGCTACTGCAAACACCAGGAGATTGCCTCAAACAAAAGTGACTTGAGGTATGCTAGATGGGAGCACTGGGCTTTGCCACACCTTCAGACTATGCATGTTCCAGTTTTCTCCTAATTTATTTTCTATGTAGTAACAAATAGCTTGGTTGGTTTGTTTTTTCTCCAATCAGGAAAAATCTACCTTCTATAGGATAATTATATAGGGAAATCTCTTCTATATTTGTTACTTCTTATATCACAGCAGTGTGGAGCTTACTCATAAGCAGAAACTTAGTCTTGTACTCTATATCACCAAGCAGACGACGGCAGTGTTGCCTACATTAGGCATTGCTCTTTACAAAATGTTTTGGATGTGGGTTACCTTGAGTAGGACAACCAGATTAGTCATCTCAGTTCTACACTTACTTAGCATTTGACAGTTAATGCAGTTTTAACACTAGTTATAATACAGCATGTAAAAGATAAGAATACATTGTTTCTGTTCAAAACAGTTCTGATTCTGTTGTTCTAGTATTTGTGGCAAAGAAGAGTTACCTTAAGTACTTTAGAATCCACCACGAATAGTTCACACAAAGCCATATGTTGTTCTCAGCTGTACATAAAATGTTCAGAAAATTGAAATAATTAAGATTAATCCATGGATAAGCTGATCTTCATCTTTTGCTTTAGTATGTATCTTGCATATGGTGAAATCCTTTTGTAGATCAACTTTAAAGAGATCCATTTTTTATCCCCAGTGTGAAAGTAGATTCACAGATCTCAGGAGAGAGTTTGAAAAAAAGGCATATTATTCTCCTGTGATGATTTGCTTTAGTTTAGGTTTTGATTGAACACAGATACTTGCATGTTCTATAACTGTCTACCTTTAAATTATTTACTTGTAAAATGTAAATCGAAAATGAAAATAGCTCATACTTGAATTTGCTTTCATTTTCTCTTGCCCATACCCTATCTCCTAGTCTTTTATGAGATGTCTTCTGTCCTCTGCAGGGTTACCATAAACAGCAAGGAATTTTTTTTTAGTCTTATTGTGCATGGTTTTGTCTCAGTATATCTTCAGTCGTCTTGAGATCCAGAGTTTTTGAGGTTTGGATTCATCTAGCTTCAGACATCTTAAATTAAACGTCAAATCTAAACAGGTTGGCTAGACTTCTCTATCAGTAAATGGGAGTGGGGGAGAGGTACCTGTAGGGACAATTCTTCCATTACCCTTAATGATTAGTTCAGAGTAGCTGTGAACTGATCGCTAAAATTAATTGAGATTAATTGCATCCTTCATATCAAATGTATGTTACTCAATTAAGTGCTTGACTGGATTCCAGCGATCTCTTTATGCTCTCTGGATTTTTGTTTATTATTTTAGCTCAACAGTAACAAGAGATTTATTTCTTTTTCTAGGGTGACTGTTGGATCTGTATGGAGCTCATGTCTACCTCGTTTGATAAGTTTTACAAATATGTATATAGTGTATTAGATGATGTTATTCCAGAAGAAATCTTAGGCAAAATCACTTTAGCTGTGAGTATTTTGTTAAAACTTTTTTGTACACTTTTGAAGATAATTTGAAAACATTCAGATCTCTTTCACTTTCTTTTAAGGAAGCTGGCTGACCAGCATTCAGTAGAATTGCTATCATTATATTGCATTGTGGTTTTAACGATCCTTAAGTGTATTCTAACTGTCCCACAGTACGCTGCATGATGGAGAAGTAGGTTCCAGGGACTGTAACTGGTCCAAAAAGATAATTTTTCCCCATTTCCAGAATCTCAGTAACTTGGAGAGGGCTTCTTTTCCCTGCTACTCCCTACACTGGAATTTCATGTCATTTTTTGGAGGGATGGTCAAACCGAGCTGAGTCTGTTGCAGGCACAGATCATGTATCGCTGGAATGGCATAAGGAAAACCTTGGCAGGTGGCATGGCTTGCTTTTTCAAACAGTCTTCCTGTAATAGTGGTAGAGCTAGCATGGTAACACAAACAGAAGCCATCATGCGCAGAGCGAGCTGTAAGCCTTGCAGTTCAGAGGGAGTGACAGAGGGGACTCCATATGCACATGGTCATTTTGTCAGGCCTTAGATGCTACTTAGCAGAACCACAGGTAGCAGGAACCAGGCACTGACTGGTCTCTCAAACTTCCCTTGTAATCAATGCTGTCAGTTAGTTTGGCTCCAAGAGAGACAGTGGACAGTCTTCTGGCAAAACTGTTAGTATGGAAACTGGGGAGAGGGAATGGCTATGGCATTTTCTCAGAGCGATGATGAGTGGCCAGGGCATAGTAACTATGTGGCTATTCCACGTTTAACCTTTGTCATGGAGCCCAGAACCACTGTCCTGCTTCGTGTCAGCACCGACAGAGTAGACACCAGCCCCCTCAGCAAGGATTCCTTCATATACCACAGAAATGACATCGGTGGAAGCTGAACACAGTCCATCTCATCCCAAGGAAGGTATCTAAAATGCATAGAGAGGAAACTAGGCGATTGGGCTTTTATAGCCAGGAGAGGTTAACCCCACTAAACTGTTTAAATGTGAGAGTCTAGTCTAATTAAGTTGCCTAGACTGCCTCTGTAGTCAGTGAGGAGAGATGAGTGCCTCTATATGGGTGCTGAGTTCCTGTCTCATGGTGCCTTATATGGTTAAGTGAAATGAAATGAATCCTATGCAGGGTATGTGAGCGTAGCCCTGCTACATGGGGGTACCATGAGCCCTAGATCTTCTGGCATTTGGCTGTTTTGTGCTCTGCATACCTATGTATGCTTTCCTCCAGAAGTTAAAGAAACAGGTTTAAAGTGTACCTTTCAGTAGCCCTGTAAAATCAAACCTGGCTTTGTGAAAATGAACCCTTGGTTGTCTAAACACACGGGCAAGTTTTGGCCTTGGAAAACACACTTTTGTTTTTTTGGCTGTGGAGGGGTGGGTGTTGAAAGGTATGCTGAAACCTTTGTCCTGCTGCTGCCTGAAAAGGTCTGTCGCATCCATTGGATTTCTACAGGGGATGCTGGTCCACTCCAGGCCAGAGAAACCTCTAGTGGCCTTGAGCAAAGGCTCTCCAAAGAAATGTATTCCTCAGGAGGTGGAGAAACTTGTTGATGTTTTCTTGACTTAACCTGGCAGTACTTTCCTGGTACAATAAAAAGTCTAGGCCAAGCCCAAAGAATTAGTTCAGCAAGGCCTCTAGAAAGTGAAGGGTTGCAGAAGTGAAGCAGTGTTCATGAGTAGCTGAGGAATATGCAAGGGAGTGCTGGACTAATGCTGTGTTGATGGCAGATGCCACAAACTGCTTCTGTATTGGCTCCAGCACATGAATGCCACAACAAATTGGTGTCATGAGTTCTCAGAGTGACTGGGAAGTGCTCAGCAAACATTGACTTCTTGAAAGGGTGTGGGCAAGTTCTGCTCAGGGCCAGCTCTTGGACAAATCCATCTTCACCCTTCCTTTCATTCCTTTTCATGAATGAAAATGATGAATTTTCAATCTTTTTAGAATAGTCCTATGAAATAAAGCTCTCTGGTGTCTCTTCCGTTTGATGGCAAACAGGTAAATCGGAACAGTCTCCTCTGCTGCTCCTCACAATACTGAAATGAGTAGCTAGTATTCAGCCAGTAGAATGAGAATGGCAGAACAGGAGCCTTATTACCTACTAAAAAAGTACAGCATAGGACTTGAAATACGTTTTTACTAAAGATGGGTAACTTCAGAAATTGTTCAACTTCATCTCTTGTTCTCCTTTTCCAAAATTTAATCTTTCCAGGTTGCAACAAGTGGTATGTGTCTTCCTTAAACACATACCCTCTTTTATATCACCTCTGTTTGTATGAAAAATTGCAAGACAAATACTTCATTATATAACATATTCCAGGATTAATATCTTCACGTCCTTAATTTTCTTCCACCATCCCCCATTCTTGGAGCTCCAAAAGTTTAATAATCATAGTAATCTTACGACATTAGCTTATTTTTCATCTGTATTTCTTTTCTAGACTGTGAAAGCACTAAACCACTTAAAAGAAAACTTGAAAATCATTCACAGAGGTAAGTTTTTTTTTTTTTTCCTTACCTACAACAATAGTTGCACGAATTTTAAGTGGCCTTTGTTTTTCAAGTCAAAATGTCATTAGCATCTGCACAATGAATGTGAGCACTGCGGGAGCACTACAGATTTTGCATAAACATGTCCTTAGTGGTTAGGTAAATGTTTCATTACCTCTTTGATCAGAGGTTTTCCACACTAACCAGTGATCGGAGTGAGGGATATGAAGTCTCACAGGTATATTTCCCCTTCAGTCAGGGAAAAGAAAAGAGATCAGGAGTGTACTAGCATTTCCAGACTAATATTGCTGTCCATTATTTCCAAATTTCCCCTCTGACCACTGACTGCAAGTGGAATACCATGGGCTGCACACATGCAGCCATGTCGAGCAGGCTTCAGAGGGATTTCAAGGCTAAGTTGGATGTCTGCATCTATCTTCAGGCATGTGACATCTTTGGGCGGGGGGATTCAACAAGATGGTCTCCACAGGTCCCTTCCAACTCCAACGATTCTGTGATATGGGGTTAGTTCCACATCCTGTTGTTCCTGGGCAGACACCTTAGACACCTGTGGTGAACGCATCCAGTTGATGTTTACCCACCCCACACTTAAGAGACAGGCAGCGCACAGTAATCACTACTGGTGTTGATTCTCTGCAGCTGCTATTTTCGAAATAGAAACTTCCAGCCGTGAGTTATCAGTTTAAATTTCTTTCCCTTACAGACATCAAGCCTTCCAATATTCTTCTGGACAGAAATGGAAATATTAAACTCTGTGACTTTGGCATTAGCGGACAACTTGTGGACTCCATTGCCAAAACAAGAGATGCAGGGTGCCGACCGTACATGGCGGTAAGTGGAGATGGGCAGTCCAGCAGGGAGCTGGCATGCCCATGGAGTATTCAGGCTTTTATCCACCTTCTTCAGGCATGGTTCAGCATGGCAGGGCCTGTCATCTGTCAGCTGACTCAAATGTCAGCCTGTTTCACGTGGGTTAGCACTCCCTTCCCAAAAGAAACTGAAGTCTAGAATGAGCGCTGTTGCTGGCAGTGTCAGCGGAGACATCCAGGCTGTGGCAAAGTGGCCAAACTCCTTTTTTTAGCCGGATTCCTCTGCTGCTGCCAGTGCAGTTGCTTTGGAACAGAAAACTTCTCCTGCATCTTCCAGCAACACCTATTCATGCTCCAAAATAAACAGTACAGCTCAATGGGGAAGGGAACGCAATCTGTGTATGAGGTTTTCTTGGTCTGCAAGAAATCCATTTGTTACGGTGAGATTATGTCACAGCAGTTATTGCAAAGCAAAATCTTTCAGAATTACAGTGATTTTTGAAAACCACTTGATTTCCAAATAGTGCCATGGCTTATTCTAGGAGTATGTAATTCTGGAGAGCGGCATTAAAACAGCAGCTGCATGGAAGTCATTCAGTCTGAGCAGTGGCTCCTGAGAGTCTATTGTGCTTGTTTGCTTCCCTCCCCCTCTGAGAGATAAAAGCTGTGATTGTGATTTTCAGCTCTAAGGGATTTAAGCAATTCTGTACATCAGGGCTGCTTTGAAAACATATTTCTTGATTTCACCTGAGCTCAGGGTTTGAGGAGGGGCTTGTGTAGGTAGTTATTTTTCTGCTGGTGTGAAGGTAGCAAATTCCTGCAGCTCTGTGTTTAATTCTTATTACTTATCCTGACACCTCAATAGACTGAAAAATACAATGTGTTTTTCTGAACTGTTTTATCTAGTTTCCTCAAAGTTCAAGGAGGGGAAAAAAGGAAAATCTCTCCTTTTTAAGGTTAAGTCCCCATCTGGTCCCGATAACTGCCCTCATGTATTTTTTCTTCTGACTATGGTGTCTAAGGCAAAACCTGTTTGCCCTCATTCTGATCTCTGCAAACACAGAGTCCAAGTTTCTGAGGCGTTTGACCATGTCTGTATATGTATTTATTGTCCTCCTAGCAGGACTAGTTACTCAGCTAGGTAGACAGGAAAATATAGACGAGATCTGCTATTGGAGTCCAGTGCTGTGCTACAGCAGTGTTTGCAAGTTCCAGATCTATATAACTTAATGAAGTGGGGCAGTTCCTTTAAATAAAGACCTTGTGAGGCTGGAGAGAGAGCAGAAATATGTCTCCTCTCTGAGTACTTTCAGCAAGTGTGTGAAGCTCCCTGTAGGGAAGGGGATCAGTAGGAGTTGCAGTAGCTATTTATTGTGTTGGTAGGGAATGAGGTCCTGAGGGCAATAGCAAAGATTATAAAGCAAAGAGAAGTATCCCAAGAAGGGACTGGAGATAGTGCAGAGTCACTGACCTGTTCAAATGTGAGGCTGATCGTTTGCTACCTCAGATAGCAGGTAGTTCTTCTGATGGTCATAACTCTACCAAGTGAGCTTTGTTGGCTTTTCTCTATCCATTCTCCAAGGTGTGAATAGATTCTGTAAATAGTTGCTCATCTGTTTTTCACCTACTAGTTCAGTGGACTAAGATTGCAGACATTTTCACGCTTTTTCTTAAAAACTGTGGGTAGATGGTTAGCATTGCTCAGGCTGTTGGTTTAGTTACTGCTTTATAGGTACTGGCATCTTTGTAAATAGCTAGGCTGCTTTATTACTCTTGGGACTCAGATAGATGGGTGCTTCTGGTAACCCTTTGGTTTTCCTCATCATCTGTGCATGTTAGACAAAATGCATCCACTGTATTCTTTGGGCATCCCTGTTAGCAGCTGCAGATTGTCTTAGATGTTTTAAATGAGCAAAAGTGTTTCAATTCAGTTTGTATTTCTAAGAGTCTTGGCATGGTATATGGTTTGTGGGTGAGCCAGCAGCTGGCAACTGGTGTGGGAGACTGCTGGCCTCTTCCCTTCTACTCTCTGGACTCAGTGACTCCTCTCTGAGTACATGTGCATTTCCACGTACTGGAAAGCTTGGGAAATGGGGAGGTGTCCCCAGCATGCAGAATCCTAGCTACAACTGCCAGCTCTTTCTCTGACCCAGCAAGGGCTCATGGATGTGAGTGGTGCTGTGGTCAAACCTGAACATACTTGGGAGGGAGTCAAGCCAGTCAAACTCCTTTCAAAAGGAGGGTTTTTTTTTTTTTTTTTGAAATGCAAAAAGTTTAAAGACTCTATCACTGTATAACTATGTATAACGAGGGTGAGTCTGATACTGGCTGCTGAATGATGTTCTGTGGCCATGGGAATGTGTTACTCTGCAAGGCCCACTTGACCCTTGGCTCTTGCAGTAATTCTGGTGGCATGGGCACTTGCCCATCAAAGGAACCTGATAACATCGTGTTCACTGGAGCTGGGTCCCCAAATAGCCATTGATAACAATAAGATTGGATGTTTGCCAGTTTGACTGCCAGTCTGATTTGGCAGCAGGAGCCATGTCCAGCTGCTAAGCAAGTGCTTGTATATTTTAACCAAAATCATTAGAGTTGGCACAGAAAGCAGAGCATTAGCCTTGGAGCTCCCAGTGCTGGAAGGATTATTTTGCTTTTGACTTTTAATTTCAATGTGATCGTTATAGTAAGAAGTAAAGGTTTGTGCCTTGTGTTCTTTGAAAGGAAGAAAGAAATGGAAAGACTGGAGGCCCTCCCTAGCTGTCCCAAGCGACAGCCTGCCTGCAGAATAGTTCAGTCTGTTTGCGTGGCTAGTGTGTTGAGCTATTCCAACACCTGTGTTGGTGCCAGCATTGTAGATTTGCTCTAGGTGAGATTTTGCAATATGGCCACACCAGTCTTCAAAGTTATTGCCAACAGGGGTGAGATTGCTCCCTGCCAGCCCCTGGTCCTCCCCGTGTGCTCCTTCTGCTTCGCTTGTGCTACCTTCATTGCTCCTCTGACCCTGCTGAGAGCCACTTTGAAGAACAGGAGTGATAGAAAGCTGACTCTACCAAAAAGGAGAAGGGCTGTTTTTCCTGCATTTTGCCATCTCGAGATGGCTTAGTGGGGGCTCAGAGCTCAGACAAGCCTCAGCAGTGATGCAAAGAGGAGGGATGTGAAAGTGCATCTGAGAAAAAAGAGAGAACGAGAGCCTCTTTCAGTGGCAGGTAGCTCCTGATCAACTTTTAGCTCCACTGTAAAATCAAGCTCACTATGCTTATTCCTTAAGGGTTTTTTTTTTTTTTTGGGGGGGGGGGGGGGGAGGGGTTGTTGTTGTTTATTTGATTTGTTTGTATATTTTTCTGGGAAACGGTAACCTGAGGGGTCTGGCAAGTGGCCCTGCCTCCCTGGTGATCCCTGTAGTTGTCTTCTGCTGGAATGAGTGGTTTTGATTTGGGCTAGATTGGAGATATTCTGTGACATGCTGGTGCCCACAAGTTTTGTGGTATTCCTATGCTTTGCCTTCTTAATGCTCAAGTGAACCCAATTTCTGTGTCAGGGGGAAGTGACCAAGCCTGATTAGAAACATCTGGTTTTATATAGGTCAGGAACCAGCCAGTAGACAGATGATCTGCCCTGTCCTGCTCCTTTGATCTCTCTCTAGAGGCAAAGTCACAACTGTCCTCTGTCCCCCAGGTCCTTTCCCCTGATCACCTAGGAGCTGCATGGCAAAGGCCACCTCCTAACCTGCCCTCTACAAGCTGCGACTGTTTCTGAGCATAGGCACTGTGTGTCACTTCCCTCGTCCTCCTCTGATTTGCTCTTGCCCTGCTCTTCCTCAACTTCCCACAGTTGCATAGGAGCTGGGCAGGGAGGAGCAAAGGCAGCATCTTGCGCCAGTGATGCAGGCAGCAGGGACAGAGCAGCTGCACTGAGCATGCCTGCCTCGCTCCAGGGCCATCAGAGAGGTAACTGTAAAGACAGTGCCCTTTGTTGCTGTCCTGTATTGGAGAGGCTGATTTATTACTATGAGGACTGCAGCTGATAGTCAGAAACCCTTTACCGGGACCAAATAGTCCCTTAGCCTAGAAAGCAATCCCAAAGCATCTGCCTTGTTGTGACGTAAGGATGGAGTTGTTCACAGTTGTGGTGAGATCTGAACTGAGGTGCTGTGCTCTTTCCAGCCAAATTGCCGAGACCAGGCACTGTGCAAGGAGATGTACAGTGATGTCTTAGTGCTAACATACTGCCATTATCCTAGCAAATCCACTTCTGGAGCATTTCTCTGTGTATGCATGATTAAGAGGACCAAAGATTCACTGCCTTCACCTCATTTCTCCCTCAGCGAAGAAAGGCACTCACTTCTGGAGTTGGTCTCCATTGCCATGCGGAGGCTGCATCACCACATTCAAACGGCTGGTACAGACAGAGTTCAGGCCATGCGCGGAAAGAGAGAATTCCTAAGGCGATTAACAATGAGGGCTCTGTGCTGCGCTTTTCCCGGCTCCCCATGTGCATGTGGAGGGAGAGGCTGCGTGGATGCGGGAGCTGTGTGAATCCTTTATCCAGGCAGAGCAGCAGCAAGAGTCTATGTTTCAGCTTCACATTCCTGACCCAATGCCCAGGTTTTCATTGGGCTCAGTCATTCAGTTAACTGAGCAGTCAGGCTGTTTCCAGGCTTGACTTCAGGCAGTTAAAAGTTGTCTGGGATGCTTCTGATTGTACTGTGTGTGTTGGATTTTTTTTTGTTTGTTTGTTTTTTGTTTGTTTATTTGTCTGAAACTTGGCACCCAGCCGTAATTCTGTGATGTAAGAAAATGGATTTTGGGGAAAACTGTCCCTGTCTGAGTAGTGTGGATTAGTTCCACTTTCTGACACTAGCAGCATAGCAAATAACTCGGGAGATGCCTGAGCTCTGAGCGCACCCTTTCTATCACTTGCATGTTGGTGATGTCACTCACATACTTCAGTGGTTTCGGCTGAGAACATACCTCTGCTTACTCATTCATAAGCTAAAATCGTCGATGAGGTTTGCCCAGC